GTCTGCAACTGAGTCGTTTCCATACCATGACAGTGGAACCAATGCATTCTGAGGTAGAGTAAAAAGACTTGGGAACTCGTGAGCCGGGCGAAGAGGTATCAAGGGATTCCTTTTCCTTTTTTTTCTCGCATGTCGTTTGTCTGCCTGCTACACACGCACACACACACACACACACACACACAGTCACTCACTCGGTCGCCCGCCCGACCACATTAATATTAATATTTTGAAGTTGCTGCTGACTGTTGTAGCTGGGGTTTAAACCCACGCACAGATTTGAGAAACCGAACTGCCTGATGAGATAATCGTTGAGGCAGATTGAGTCCGTGTGTGGATTTGGGGACCGTTTTTTTTTATAAYTATATCYCGTGTCAGGCAGCTGGCGCGTGAGGATGTGTTTGTGTRTCCAAACCCTAACCTTGCAAAGTGGAAAACCGGCCGAAWGGCAGAAATGGAAATGRAAAATGTGTCAAATYGCTGCCWTGATGCATTTCGCAGSCAAAATGATTTTTATKTTTTTTACTAAAAAKATCACAACAGAATCTATGGACTCTGAAATTTTTATATTTTTCTTATATTCTTTTGAGCTAAAAAAAACACGGAAGATGCAGGACTTTTCTGTTGGCTGGCACATGGCATAGCAACGACAATGGAAAAAGTGATGAAATCGCGCGGTGGTTATTTGATAGTCAAAATATTTTTTTAATTAAAAAAAATATATTTTCTTAGAAAGATTACGACCTAATCTATAGGCCCTTCAATTTTCATGATTTGTAATGCATTCCTTTTACCGTGAAAAAGCACTGAACTTAGGATACGTTTTTCGTTGGCCCACGCATCCAAGAGTGACAAAAATTGAAAATCCACTGAATTGTCGTGGCGACCATTTCAGCATCAAATTGTTTTTTTTAATATCTAAGATATTTTTCGTAGGAAGATCAGGACATAATCTACCCTCCAATTTCAGGATTTTCAACGCATTCTTCTGAGCTGGAAAAATCACTGAAGTTATGGTACGTTTTTCATTGTTGTCGAGCAGAGCTACAAACAGGTTAACAATCCAGAACTTAACTCAATCGGACAAGTAGGAGAGAAAACCCGTAGGGAAGAGCACGACGACCATGTCCCGAACACGACTTTGTATTTTGACCTTAAGGGGTCTTAGTCGGTAACATGGACATGACGCCATAAGACTATATACTACTCAAGAATATGCTACCGAATCGATTCATCAAGACGCCACCACTATGCCAATTGTCAAAGCCGTAGTCAAAAAAGTACCGTACCGGAGCTTCTATAAAGTAATATCCCTTGGGGCCATTGCATTAGCACCTACACCTTTTAAGAGGCCAAGTTCAAACAATGCTCCTCAATCTATCCAGCAATTGTACCAAATTCACAGAGGGGTCYGGAAACTTCCTAAGATCGGTAGTACACCAGTCGTTACAAAACTGTGACAAAGACAAGTCAGACAGATAGGCCCACCAAAAAGCAGCCCCTAGTTCGAGACCGCCATCAAAACATGGCTCGGAACACTAGCTAAAAACACCGAACCAGGGTTCAAAACCACTACAGACTAACAAAAAACAAACGTCCGTCGTTCGAATCCCGCCCAAAGCGTACAATCTCGAAAAACTCAATTCAAGCCCCCTAACTCAATTCAAGCTCTGTCAACATCACTGCAGACCAAAAACAAAACCCATGCTCGAACCGAGCCCAGAACGTACCATCCCGAAAACTCAAATCAAACCCCTGCATCATACAAAATTGAATGGCCCCCTACAGCGGGGGAGAAAAAAAAACGAGGACCCCATACTTCAACCCAAGAACCGATCCCACCTGGTCAGCGCCGGTATCCGTTCTCTCCAGAACCCCCCGTACATCCTAGAAAATGCACTAAGGTTTTATCAAATAAACTCATCTGGGTACCCCCTCTTCCACAACTCACACTTCAAAGAAAACAAAAAGGGAAAGGTCAAACCTTCATGCGACGAATACGATCTCGCCCGGTGTAGGAACGATCCAATAGCAGCGAATTTTTGTTGTCTACTAGAGAACGACGAAAAATCCTGTATATTTTGAAAGGTCAATTTCCCATTCACGTCACAGTTCTGATTTTTAATCATAGGAAGACACACCACTCCTGCTTCACCGCAACTCACCCTAAGAATGCAACCAAGATATTACCATTTGCTGTTTTTACTTGGCTTCTCTAACACGAAGTTTTTGTCATAACATTGACTGAATGCTTCAATCATCAGTTTCGCCTTCTCCTTCGTTATTTATTGTCCTTTCTTAATAACGACGAAAACTAACACATCATCAATCAAGTGAAAACCTCGAAAGAATCTCCTATTCACACCTAGCCTGGAAAGAAAGGAGAACTCATTGAACGCACAAAGGAGGCAAGCTAACGTCGGGCTTGTTGATTTGCCTATTGGAATGCCCATAGTTTGACGAAGCAGTCGCCCCGATGTCGAAATGAAGGTATGATCAAGTTCGAATTTAACAAATTCCCGAATCATTTTGAGAGAATTACCCGTTCATCCGGGTTCAACTCCCCCTTTCAATAGCTTCGCTCCTTTGCCCTGTCTTTTAATACCTACTTTCTGTATTCCTTTATAAGACCAAAAATCAACCACCCAAGTCAACGCGTCAATGATCGATGAGTGGGGCAAATTTGAAAACATTTCTTTGATATCAAAGGATGCACCGATCACACCATCTSCCAATTTCAAACCTTCATTCACCTTCCTCACTTCTTTGAGAAGATCATCGACACTYAGATTGAGATTTGAGTTATCAGGAAGATTCCAAAGTAGGCAGTTTACCGCCCTTCACACCAATCTCCCACCCGCCGCGGAACATTCAGAGTACAATGGGCAGAYGGGTCGCCAACGTGATATGTCCKTGTGCTTGGGTATACTATAAGCYCTCCCAATACTACCGTCATTCTTCCACTTGCATACCTGTTGCAATCCCAAGACAGTATACCATATAGCGCACTCCTGGAGAATATCAGTCTCYGCAACCAAGCACAAACTAAAGGCCGGATTCCCAAAAAACAGCCGCCACATCCCACTCTCATAAACCAATGGACAACAAACATACATATCCCCTRGGTTCTGATCAACAGGACARCACACAAGCCCTTTCAACATCGATCGAAAAGGAAACAAATCATTCTCATTGTTGGTATTTAGCAAGGAACAAGACTTAGAGAAACATCATCGAATCAACTTATTGGTCAACAAACCAGGATCAATCTCAGGAAGTGACRGATRAGACTTAAAGGAAGAGAGAATCTGAGAACGAAGGAAGAATAAGGATCGAGATCTAGATGGACGAAGCACATTCTTATAATTYCTCATTCATAGAGGAAAAAACTCACTATCGTTCAATTGAAAAGCCACGTGACCCWCAGATCTTGGGAAAGACAAATCACAACTTTCACATGTACAGACAGTATGAGAACACTTCGAGTATTCACGAAACTTATGAATTAAATCACCCACAGAACGATTACGGCACCAAACAACCCGCATGGGCCTCACCARCATTAACTCCCATCCTTCAGAAATGTCCAAAGAGGAGATGACCARARCACAAGTTTGGCGAATCTTAGCCTTAGAGATAGAATCATCATACACAATACGTATGACCAACCTTTTTCGAACATGTCACCCGAAATGTGCTAAAATTCCCCGAGACAGCAAACATCTCAATCTGRAACGAGTACGGTTATCGCTAAAGGTTCGTACCGCCGTATATGTYGCAATCAATCCTTCCAAATCCCGAATCTTCAAAAGTTGTCGACTAGAAGCGTCACTCAGGAAACCAGCAAGAGGTGCTTTCAAARCCAAGGATYGACTCAAAAAAGGAATAATCGTAACAAACTCCAAGGTAACGCCTCCCTTCAGCCATCACCCTGCATGCCGCAATTCACAACTTCCATGGACACATGAGACTAGATCCCCTCTATACAATCTTTTTAACACCTTCCATCGGTCAATAATACGATCGCCTCCCACACACTTCACAACAACTTTATGAACCGAACTCACCCTGCAGAATTCCAAGATCCTAAGCAAAGTCTCAGAAACAATTCCAACACTCGAGTGAAAACAAACCAAGGAGCCGAAAGAAATCTTCTTAGTCTGAAACAGACAACCCGCTGGATACTCTTTAATTTTCTTCCTCTTCCTGATTCTTTCTCGCAAACCAAGTTGTTGTCTTCTTGACCTTCTTGTTTTGTCCTTGGTATTCAAAGCCGGTGAAAACAATCTAATAAAATATTTTTTCATTTCTTCCAAATTATCAGGAGTACATCTACACAACGGAATAATCGAATAAGAATGTGTACCACATCTGCGCATCCACTTATATAATTTCTTACATCTACAACCATCGTTAAGCGTTGACTAACAGGAACGATAAACATGCTTCCTCCATCGTGTATGCAAGTCTCTTCCCGTGCTACCGATGTACAGATGCCTAGACCAAGGTGAAATCAAACAATAGACGACATGTCCCTTCCATTCATCCTCATCATGTCTTCTTCGAGAAAAGGCATCCAAGARAAACTGACTTAACTTACTTCCCCATAATATTTCTCCGGCAAGAATCAACCCACAAATCGAGAGACTGAGAAGAACATTAAGAGCCGTATTCTTTAGGRATTCAACAGAAAAAGACYGAATCCTACTACAAAGTCGAAYCGACTTCCRAAGGAAAACCGTGTCAGGGCAAGATCCTAAGAAACAGCGGAGTCTTGCCCGTCATCTTCATCCGATGACCCATCCCCATCACCCGACACTTCAATCATAGCAATGTTCTTACCCTTGTCTTTCTTACCATCCTCATCCTCGAAAGCCCTAGCAACTCTCTCTTGCACAATCGCCTCTTTGGTCGGTTCCAAAGTAGTATAGGTTATGCCTTCTTTCTCACAAATACAAATGACCTCTTCCTTCTTCTTCCCTCGAAGTTGCCTTCGATTCTCTCGAACAAAGGCATCTCTATCGATTGATCGCGCCGCCGGACTCGGTGCAGTCTTGGTCTTGTGTCARCGATTGGAAGGGCCAGCTTCATCTTCARCCACACCTTGCTCTTTCCTGACAGCAACTTCATCCAATCTTGATTTCAAGTTAGTTCCACGTGTGCCYGTTCTCTTCTCCATTGCCAGCTTGGCGATCTCGTCTCTAAGCCTTGCCACCTCATCCTCAGAATCCTTACGCGCCTTCATCTCCTTGATCTGCAAATCGTGCAGAGCTTTCACCTCCATTTGATGCCGCTCAACGATACCTTTCAGGTCAGCCTCCATTTGCCTYTTGGGAGTCTCAACCGGTGTAGTCCGCGGACGAAATCGCACTTGAGTTGTCGTTGTGGGTCCAACCGCAAGGCTTCCCCGTTTATTATCGGGTCGAAGCGCTTCGTTTTTCCAGGCTTCAGCATTAGCTTCCGCCTCCTCACATTGCCTTTGTAGGACCAAYACAACATCCTCCAGTGTCGACAGTCTTTTATCCGACGYCGTCTTCATCGCAGCTTGTTCTAGCCGCAATCGTACCAAATCCTCTGTCTCCGAAACAGGTTTGGAAGCCTCCGTCGATGTGCTTGCACCGTTCATCCTTCGTTGCAAATCATTAATAGTGGCTTTTAGCTTCGCCACCTCCTCGCTGTCACCATTCTTCTTACCATCGATAGTTTTATACACCTTGTCTAGATTCTCCGTGAGCTCCTGCTTCATCTGCGACTGGAAATCTTCTCGATCTTTCTTTTCACGTTGCCTCCTTTCTTCTTCTTCTCGCTCCCGCTTCTTACGTTCTTCTTCCTCACGAGCTGCTTTCTCCTTCGCTTCATCCGCCTCATGCTTCTCATTGATCCTAGCTACCTTGTCTTCTAACGTGCTCACGCGCTTGCCAAGCCAACCACTACCCCCCGAGTACCCAGAGAAGGAGGGGACTGTGGTTCCTACATTGGAGTTGTTACTAGGAGGTAAGGTGAGAAGAGGGGTATGCGCAGGGACAATAGCCATCATGTTAGAGGGTTGACCATTAAGCCTACGATCAGAGTAAGGACAAAAGCGAGAGATGTGACCACATTGGTTACAATTGTAACATGTCATCGTGTCTCCATTCTGATTGTTGGAAGCCATGGTACTTGCGAAGTCACTCAACTGCAGTACAACTCCTATGTCGGTTCCTTCGTGCGTGAAAGTTGTCGAGCAGAACCATGAACAGGTTAACAATCCAGAACTTGACTCACTCGGACTAGTAGGAGAGAAAACCCGTAGGGAAGAACACAACGACCATGTCCCGAACACGACTTTGTATTTTGACACTAAGGGGTCTTAGTCGRTAACATGGACATGACGTCGTAAGACTATATACTACTCAAGAATATGCTACCGAGTCGATTCATCAAGACGCCACCACTATGCCAATTGTCAAAGCCGTAGTAAAAAAAGTACCGTACCGGAGCTTCTAGAAAGTTATATCCCTTGGGGCCATTGCATTAGCACCTACACCTTCTAAGAGGCCAAGTTCAAACAGTGCTCCTCAATTTATCCAGCAATTGTACCAAATTCACAGAGGGGTCCGGAAACTTCCTAAGATCGGTAGTACACYAGTCGTTACAAAAYTGTGACAAAGATAAGCCAGACAGATAGGCCCACCAAAAAGCAGCCCTTGGTTCGAGACCGTCATCAAGACATGGCTCGGAACACTAGCTAAAAACACSGAASCAGGGTTCAAAACCACTACAGACTAACAAAAAACAAACGTTCGTTGTTCGAATCCCGCCCAAAGCGTACAATCGCAAAAAACTCAATTCAAGCCCCCTAACTCAATTCAAGCTCCGTCAACATCACTGCAGACCAAAAACAAAACCCATGCTCGAATTCAGCCCAAACGCCGCGGAGTGGCAAAAATGACCCACACGCCGCGGAGTGGCAAAAATGGAAAATGAACCAAATCGGCACAACAACTATTTCATGGTTGAAAATATATATATATATATATATATATATATATATTTTAATTTATATTTTTCCTAGAAAGACCACGACCAAATCTATGGGTTCCCAAAATTTGAGATTTTTTGGATTATTAGATAAATTGTGAAAAATCCCCAAAGTTAGGGTACTTTGTAGCTGCGGGACTGGACCCGCCGGTAATTAGCGGTTGCCGCTCTTCCGAAAAACCTCGCCCTAACTCACCGGACGCAGGTTTTTGGGTGGGGGTGACAGGTGGTTTAATGAGTCGGGGAGCAAGACCCACGGTCTCCATGGGAGCTGAAGCTAGCTAAGGGCTCCCCGAGAGCTGAAGCTGGTTAAGGGCATCACCACACCGTTCGTTGTTGTTTTTTTTAACAAAATGCTCCAATCTATTCGTGAGGAGCCGCACGTGCTATCAACCGGTACATTTGCATCGCTACACCACTCTCCAAATGTGAAAAAGACAAAAGTGTGGTCGGTGCATCTGGCCATGTTCTAGCTGGAAGTTCATTGTACATTTTGCACATTTCTCAAGTGGTGTGGCGACGGCCAAATGACCCCGCGAAGCCCTCCCC